TTTGACAGAGGACGATAAGTGCGACACTGAGATCTGTAGACGTATTGGGATGGCCAAGGACGCGTTCCAAAAGCTGGGCAGAGTATTGCGAGACAGGAGGATTTATTTGGCAACAAAGAAAAGAATACTGAGCTGTTACGTGACATCTGTCCTTCTTAACGGCAGCGAATGTTGGGCGATTTCCTCAAAGATGAAGAAGAGACTCGAGGCGACAGAGATGTGATTCTGCACAAGGATGCTAAGGATATCACGGACCGAGCATGTGACCAAAGAAAAAGTCTTAGAGAGGATACAAACAAGGAGGAGGCTTATACTTAATATCAGAAAGAGGCAGCTGAAGTTTCTGGGACAAATAATGAGGAAGGAGGGCCTGGAGGATCTAGGAGTAGAGGGAAAAGGAGACAAGAGAAAACAACACGTGACATACATGGCGGGGTTAAGAACGTGGTCTAGGGGAGGAAGCAGAGGGAAGGAACTTGTTGAGAGCTGAAAGGGATAGAGTGAGGTGGAGAACAATGATCGCCTACGTCCTGAAAGGACATGGCACGTAAAAAGAAAAGATATGCATCCTTGAATTGACACGGAGAACGTCATTTTTTTCCTTTAATCCTCTTTATATGCTGTCAATGCTTTGGAAAATCTAAGGTGTCTTCGCGTAGTCTCAGTGTATTCTTAACTGAGATGTGTAATCTACAGGGCAGGTTGGTTTTGTTCACTCTTTAAAAATCTACATTGCACTCAGTGCGAAAACTAGGGTTTGATGAGATAAGAACTGCCACTAAATATCTCATTCATAAATTTTATTAACTTTTGAGCATTTAGTTTTAAAGATCATCCGGAAAAATATACTGAAATCTCTAAATTCCACAGATTTTTGCATAAAACTGATTTCAAAATTTTACTATTCCAAGGATAAATCAATTATAGTTGATAAATTTCTGCTAGATACATTGAATTGAAAATATATTTAAACCAGAATTCTAATTATGAAGCATCACAAGCCAAATATACAATCGTTATTGTATTCGATAAGTAAAAATTGTGTAAAAAAAGTTATAAATTATTACAAAAAAGATTCTCAATGAATAAGATTTATTATATCATATATAAACTGATGACGAAGTCCAGATAGTAAGTACATGTTTTCGGTACACCCTGTCTATCTATATCTATATCTATATCTATATATATATATATATATATATATATATATATATATATATATGTATGTATTCAACCTTCAAAAAGTGTGGATGGTCCTGCACGAAGTCTTTACCACTATAATCAAATCTCATGCGCCGTTGTCGGGCTGTCGGTTTCCTGAAACTGATCTGCTTGACTCTCATACGTCGAATCCGACGGGAGAGTCGACTATATATATATATATATATATATATATATATATATAGTGGTATCAAATACATATAAAATATGATCAGAATATTTGATTTATAAACATTTCCTATTTTTTCGTTATCATATATATATATATATATATATATATATATATATATATATACATACATCTAACATTTAAATTAGGTTGGTTCAATAAATTTACTTTTTGAAAACGAATTGTAATAATAAATGTGTCAGCGTAATTATAGATCATCGGTCGATTTTGGAACCGTGGTATTGCACCCAATCTGAAATTTGGTTTTTGCATATAAAAATAATGACACATGATATTTTTTTTACAAATCGTTACCATTCCTAGAGAAAATGAGTGTAAATGTTTAGGTTAAGGATCAAAATTGTAGTGTTGGAACAGTGAAAGCCTTATAGCACAGCCTTATAATATCACTTAATTTATATATTAATTTATAAGCGCAGGTAATAATTGTATTTATGAATTATTAAGGTTAAGGAAAATCTTCTTTTTTTCTAATTTAGGGGTAGTTGGTTTTTAATTTCACTAGACAGCTTATGTATCCAATATATGTTACTTACAAAGTCAGTTTAAGTTTAGATCGAGTGGGGGTGCCTGCTGACAAACTCATGCTTTCGTTATTCAGTGAGTCGTCTTTGTTTTCAATGACATTTTTATTCATCCCATTAATTCATATTTTTATACAAAAAGATTCTCTAAAAGGGCCATTTAAATATGTACAAGACATATTTTTAATATTTAAATTTTATTAACTAAATTTTATACTTAAATATTTAAAGTACCATTCGACCTTCTAATAACTAATAGACTATACGGTATTTTTACAAATAAATATATTAGAATTTAATTACTAATTAATGATCAAATATAAAATGTATGTTTCATCTCTATTCTTCCTTATTTTTTATCAAAATTAATTATTATTTAAGAAAAATATTTCACAGTGCCTACAAAAATAGCTATTTCATTTCTTTGACATAGTAAATTTTTATTTTTCAGAAACTTAATAATGTATAATTTTTCATGTACGCACAAAGAACATGGGTCCTCTAGCTTTTCTTATTAATTTCCATTTTACTGTTGGTATTTTATTGTTTTCTTTTAAGTGTCAGAAATATTTAGATTGGGACGTTTGATTTCGGTATTTATTATTATTAAAAGACGTTTGATGTTGGTTACACCTTCTTTTGAATTCTTTCAGTTTGCATCCAATGTAGAATTAAACTATGTCTGGGTCTTCAATAGATGAAATATTGCATTGATAAATTATCAATTCAATACGGCATTTATTATTAATAGTTTTGAGGATTTCTAAAATAACGTAATTTTTCTTTATTTCCATTTCTTTTTATTTTAGGATCTATATTTTTTTTATTTTGGTATAAGTGTTTTTTTAAGATATTAGCATTATGTTTCATAATAATCATTTCTAAGTTTCAGTACAATTGTAACTTGATTTTAGGTTATTTTTATTAAAAATTTTACAGGGTTTATTATCATTAGGAATATTAATGCAAGGAATTTTTGTCCTAACTTATTTCTTACCATTTGGTTGTATGTGTGTGTGTGTATATACACTAGACTAATTGAGTTTTTTCCATGTTTTCAAATAAACCATTTAGCCATCTTGACACCATTTGTCGTAAGAATCACTTAAAAACCATTTGTGTAATTGAGCTAAAAAGAGAACAGGTTAGTCATTGAAAATATATTTAAACCAGAATTCTAATCATGAAGTATCACAAGCCAAATATACAATCGTTATTGTATTCGATAAGTAAAAATTGTGTAAAAAAAGTTATAAATTATTACAAAAAAGATTCTCAATGAATAAGATTTATTATATCATATATAAACTGATGACGAAGTCCAGATAGTAAGTACATGTTTTCGGTACACCCTGTCTATATATATATATATATATATATATATATATATGTATGTATTCGACCTTCAAAAAGTGTGGATGGTCCTGCACGAAGCCTTCACCACTATAATCATATCTCATGTGCCGTTGTCGGGCTGTCGGTTTCCTGGAAACTGATCTGCTTGACTCTCATACGTCGAATCCGACGGGAGAGTCGACTATATATATATATATATATATATATATATATATATATATATATATATATATATATAAAGTGGTATTTATTCACTATAACCCTATATTCCCTCCTGAGCAATGGTGTGAGAAAAAGATCATTTAGACCTTCAATAATGACACTATGAATGTAGGTGTGATGATTATGATCTGGATTTCAATCTTCAGAGTTCAATCAAGAACCATCAAGAAAACGGTGAATAAGTTTTAAAAAGAGGGAACTATAGATAGGAAAACTGGATTAGGAAGTCAAAACCGGAAGAGGTATCACCATTTAAAATTAGAGCTAATGAAATCAATTAGAAAAGATCCAACTCAATTCCTAAGACAATTGACACATGAGAGATGATTTTCAACTATGACAATCCAATGAGCAGTGAAAAAAGATTTAAAAATGAAAATGTGCGTGAAACCTCTGAGGCAACATGTTACTCCAGGACAGAAAAAAACAGAAGGTTAGAGAGTGCGAAAAACACCTTGAATAAGTTGGAAAATGATCCTATATATATATATATATATATATATATATATATATATATATATATATATATATTAATTTATTTCAAACTTTCATGATCTTCAGATCCTAAGCTTTGATTAGTTAATGATGAACGTTTCATTTTCGTTTATGATCGATTTCATCACGATACTTCTGTTAAGTTTAGAGAGTAATTACACATTCTTATTGTTCAACGTAGAGTACAAAAGTGTTATAAAAAACCTCAGGCAATTCCAGTAAGATATCGCTGATCTTTTCTTCGGTAGAACGGTGCAGAATTTAATCTAACAATTGGACAATTTGCAGTTACACCTGGTGTGTGCGTGAATATATATATATATATATATATATATATATATATATATATATGAATATAGATAACTAGACTCGTTTCGAAAAACCCTCGAATTTTTGATTTGTTAATCAAATCAATTTCGATGGAAAAAAAGGTTTTAAAAAAAGAAAGAGCTACAAACATGAACTTCTGCCGACAAAAAATCGCACAGATGCAGGTCTGAAGCCCAAAGAAAAAACTCCGATACGAGTAAACAACTAACTAACAAAAGAGCTCAATACAACCGTAGAGCAGACCTAGCTACACCTAGTGAGCCAGACAAACCTACCTAGGTTTCACCTAAACAGATCGTCAGGGAAAGCTTGGCTAACGAGGCAAAGAGAAACACATATTTATAGGTGATAGCTAAAATCATACCACGTGACAAAAAATAAAAAAATTGTTGTTATTGTTGAATAAATATTTAACCCCCCCCACTTAGGTTGTTTGTTTTTTTTGTTTCATTTCATTCATAACGGATTCGGAGGTTTTTGTATGTTATTTGAATTGTTTGCGATGATGGATTTCTCGCCAATTAAATCATTAACCTTTGCATTAGTTTTTGTGTGAATAATTCATGAATATATATATATATATATATATATATATATATATATATATATATATATATATATATATATATATATATATATATACCAACAGTCTCTATCTTATGTACCTTATCTATCTATCTATCTATCTATCTATCTATCTATCTATCTGTCTGTCTATCTATCTATCAATCTATCTACCTTTCTGTATTTCTGTCAGTTTGTGTAGATATTCAGTAAATTAAAAAACGTTCAAGTGACTTATCTAGTTAAGCAACATAATAGTTTCGCATCAAATCGCTCATCTACGCCAAATGTTTCATAAATAAATTGAACTTTTTGTCAGATCTCATACTTATACACATTCTGTCTGAACGAACGCTAATACTAACTTCCAAATTTTATATTCTTAATACGCTAGTTTTTCATGAGAAACAGCACAAGATTTACATTTAGAACCAGTCAATTTTTTCCACCTTATATATATAATTTCAGCATTATTGCAATTTTCTAATTATGGTATAATTCGTAATATAAAATAAATACAAACTTATCTATTATTTATTTGTTTCTTTTTGAATTAATTAATTACAAATTTGATATATGATTTTCCGGCAAATAGAAATTTTGACGTTAAATTGTGACTATATCTATCGTATGTTACCAAATCTAGATAAGTATTATTAACTAGCTTAGAAGCCGCCCTATTCGGTGGCATTTAAGCTAACTCCTGCAAAGAACTCTGGGCCTTCATCACAATAAGTAGAGAGGAATAGAGGCCATAGTCAACAATAAACTACAGACAAAACACGAAAAAAATGATCGCTGCATTTAAGTATAGCATTAATATTTAAGCTTACCTTTTAAAAGTTCGTCGATAATTCTTCTGCTGCCACTTAATTTAAAGACAATTTGATGTGAAAACAATTATTTTTATTTCATGGGGGACTTTTGATGGATTTCGCAATTAATTTCGATTACTCCCAAAATTATTTCCAAGTTATAAAAATTGTTATCATACAAAATATCAGTCTCAAAAAATGACGTAAGAAAATCACCAAAAAATATGGTAGTAATGAAAAATTTGGAATCCAAAATTTCAGGGTTGCGGTCTGGATCCGGGCCGGAATGTCTTCAAATTTCCTCACGGATTCGGCCTGATTCCAAAATGGTATATTTTAGGCTACGGCCTCTAGAAGTAAAGGTGAAAACGTGTGACACAATGACATACTGACATTCGCATTTATTATATACATGAATGTTTAATATAATATAAATATGCTGGTTATTAATTTATTAATTTTAATTTTAATTCAATTTTTATTCCTTTATTTCTTTCATTTTTTAACATCCACTTTTTCTTTTGATTTATAATTTATTTTCTTTTTATTAAAATTATTTAAATATTATTATTATTATTATTATTATTATTATTATTATTATTATTATATATTGATAATATTACTGGTCAATATATATATATATGTATTGATAATATTATTGGTCAATATATGTATATATATATATATATATATATATATACATAAATTCCCAAGAGGATATAATCCCGGTAGAACTCAATGTCCAGGACAGAGTAAGAATATAATATAAAAGGCTGGAATATCAGTGTTTGAGCCTTTTATATATATATATATATATATATATATATATATATATATATATATATATATATATATATATATATATATATATATTATTTATGCTTACTTTTATTAAATTTTTAACGCTAATCTTAAATTCAAATAAATTCATATGTTAAACACGTGGTAACGCTTAAATGTTGAAATATTACACGCTAATAACCAAATTCATATTAATTCTATGTAGTTAACGTTGTAAGGTACAAATTTTGAAATGCCTCATCTTAGACTTGTAATAATTTTACTTTATATTATTAGAATTTAACGCTATTATTTTTCCTCATCTGAAACTGATAGGCATTTCGATGGGAATCTCTAGAGTCGGCTGATAAGATCAGTCACTTGGACTCTGCGAATTTACTGAATATCAAATATCTAGTTGTTTCTGGCAGATTTGATGAACTGAAAATACATGTAAAATTTTTATAATTTTCAAGTATATTCTCAGTTGTATTTTTTTTATTATTGGCTGGATATCTAGATTTCTTTTGTCTAACTATCCTTTCGGCTATTATTATTCTTTCTATCGCTTTCAGTGATATCTATCTATCTATCTATCTATCTATCTATCATTTAGTGGCATTATATAAGTAACTAACTATATCATCCTATCGTATTATATCGATCTGGCGTATTTATAAAGACCTAATAACACACACACATACACACATATATATATATATATATATATATATATATATATATATATTTGTGTGTGTGTGTGTGAAAGTGTATTTTAGGGCAATCTCTTTTTTATACTGGTTTCATTAATAAGACTGACACGGTTCTCCAGTTGCAAGTTTTATTTGAATTTTCTTGTGTTCTTATAATTTTCTGGATATAAATAATATAGAAATTGCCCGAATGATCTGTCTGTCCGAGCGCTTTCGGTTATACTTTAGACATTATCAAGGGTGAATTTATTTTTACTTTTAACAGAATGTCTATATTTTTATGTATGTATCTAGAGTTATAGGAATGTTTTATTTTTCTGTCTGTCTGTCTGTCTATCTATCTATGTAACACACTCTTCATATCTATCTATATCTATCTATATCTATCTGTCTGTCCGTCTATCTATCTATCTATCTATTTATCTATCTATCTATCTATCTATCTATCTATCTATCTATCTATCTATCTAACACACTCTTCATATCTATCTATGAGAGTTTCTTTCTTTCTGTGTAAGTTTCTTCCTATCTATCTATCTATCTATCTGAATGTATGCCTAAGTATGAACTATCTACTTAATATCTAATTTTGTCTATATTTATTTCATGTAAATATATATATATATAAATATATATATATATATATATATATATATATATATATATATATATATATATATATATATATGCGCGTATATTTTTATATATATATATGCGTATATTTTCAGTCTGTTAATTTCTGTCTCTCTATGTCAACATTCATCGGCATTCTACTTTCATCAACTTCATCTATCTATCTATCTATCTATCTATCTATCTATCCCATTCTGGTTAGGTCTCTCACACTTTCTTTCTCCCTCTCTTTCTTCCAGTGTGTGTTCATATCTATCTATCTATCTATCTATCTATCTATCTATCTATCTATCTATCTATCTATCTATCTTAATGTATGCATGTATGTACGTGCATATTGTCATTAAACTAAAAAGATTTTCACTTATAATCTTTCATCGAGACGCGTATGGGTGTGAATGTTCGCTCTTTCGTTGTTTATGGAGGCAGAAGCCAGTTCGAGAAAGGTGCATATAATACCGTAGTTAATAAAGCCGGCGACGGAGTCAGATGAGAGGATATTGCCGAAAATGAAAATTGCTCAAGTCATAGATGAAAGCTTTGTTCGTTCCCCTAAAGAGATAACAAGAAGCGAACCTATGAAACAGCATCGCATCAAAAGGTCCTAACTCAGAGCGACGCAAACGACACAACGAACAAGACGACATCCACTCCCGACACCATATTTATCAGAGCCGGTAACGTTAAATTTCTCCGGCCATTATAGTCTTTCACTTGATCCTCTTCACATCGTACGTGGGCACTTTGAAATTTTACAATCCATTGATCTCGTTCTTTACTTAAATAGACACGTGTACGCATATATAAATTCTTATTACACACCAGCTACACAATTAGCAAGAAGAACTCCGCCATTGCTCTTCTTTTCTCAAAGGATCTTTCTCTCCAGGTAACCTCTGTTGTCAGTTTTTGCTCTTTTACTTTCTATACAGGTGCAACTTTGTCGTAAAAAGATTTCTGTATGACGAGTTCGAATTCGGATTGTTACGGTCATTCAAATCCCACTTTCGTTTTTTGTTTTTTTTTTAAGTAAACTGCAGGACATAAAATGTGACACTGGAACCCTATGACGCGTTTTAATAGTGAAAGATGTCGCCCAAAGGCTAAGAAAAGGAATTAAAATACTAAAAAATAAACTAATTAGAAACAAAAGAATAGGTTGTTTAAGTGTTTAACTCTTATGTACTATCGATCCTCCTATATAGCAGTGAATGCTGATCAATCTCATCACAAGTAAAGAAGAGACAGAAGGCAAGAGAAATCTGGTTCTGTTCTACAGAAGGAAACTGAGAATATCATGAACTGAACATATGTGCAATATGTTTTAGAGAAAATGGAAGCAAAACCAACACCTATGCTTAGCAAGAGAAAGAGACAGTTGAGAATTCTAGGGCGCATAGGGCTATACTTTTAGCCATTATAAAAGATGATTTTATTTTTACTTTTAACCGAATATATTCATTGTTTTATATATGTATCTAGAGTTATAGAAATGTTTTATCTATCTATCTATCTATCTATCTGGATATATGCATATATAAGTTTGAACTATCTAATATCTGATTTTGTCTATATTTTTTCATGTCTATATATGTTTATGTACGTGTATCTTTCAGTCTGTTAATAATTTCTCCCTCTCAATATCAATATTCATCCGCATTCTACTTTCATCAACTCTATCCATCCATCTATCTATCTATCTATCTATCTATCTATCTATCTATCTATGACTGTTTCTTTCTTTTTCTTTCTTCCTATCTATCTATCTATCTATCTATCTATCTATCTATCTATCTATCGTTATTAATATCTATGTTAATATCTGTCTATATATGTTATCTATCTATCTATCTATCTATCTATCTATCTATCTATCTATCTAACACACTCTTCATATCTATCTATCTATCTATCTATCTATCTATCTATCTATCTATGACTGTTTCTTTCTTTTTCTTTCTTCCTATCTATCTATCTATCTATCTATCGTTATTAATATCTATGTTAATATCTGTCTATATATGTTATCTATCTATCTATCTATCTATCTATCTATCTATCTATCTATCTATCTAACACACTCTTCATATCTATCTATCTATCTATCTATCTATCTATCTATCTATCTATCTATCTATGACTGTTTCTTTCTTTTTCTTTCTTCCTATCTATCTATCTATCTATCTATCTATCGTTATTAATATCTGTTAATATCTGTCTATATATGTTATCTATCTATCTATCTATCTATCTATCTATCTATCTATCTATCTAACACACCTTCATTCATATCTATCTATCTATCTATCTATCTATCTATCTATGACTGTTTTTCTTTTTTCTTTCTTCCCATCATCTATCTATCTATCTATCTATCTATCTATATCGTTATTAATATCTATGTTAATATCTGTCTATATATGTTATCTATCTATCTATCTATCTATCTATCTATCTATCTAACACACTCTTCATATCCATCTATCTATCTATCTATCTATCTATGACTGTTTCTCTCTTTTTCTTTCTTCCTATCTATCTATCTATCTATCTATCTATCTATCTATCTATCTATCTATCTAACACACTCTTCATATCCATCTATCTATCTATCTATCTATGACTGTTTCTCTCTTTTTCTTTCTTCCTATCTATCTATCTATCTATCTATCTATCTATCTATCTATCTATCTATCTATCTATCTGAATGTATGCCTAGATAAGTATGAACTATCTGATATCTAATTATGTCTATATTTTTTTCATGTCTCTATATGTATATGCGCGTGTATCTTCCACTCTGTTAATAATTTATCGCTCTCTGTATCAACATTCATCCGCATTCAAGCAGGGCTTAGAAAATTTGATACTGGGACGCCATACTGCAAGCAAGAGGCTCAATGAACAGCAGTGCAAACCAAACTTGTATAAATGTTTAGCAAGGACAGGTTTTGCTTCCAAATTCTTAGGAATTTCAAATATGAACATCCCCACCCTAAATGTCTAGAAAGATAATAGAGGTGTATGCTGGGATTTCTTCTTAGCCAGTCAAAATGGTCTAATTATCGTTCTCAGTCCTCGTATTTTTTCTCTTTCTTGTCTTGAAGTCAAAACGCCATAACTACTTCATCGTCATCAACATTATTCGACGGTAGTCAGGACCATGGAGCCAATGCGAACCATCCTTTCTTTAGTTGTATAGTATATGTTACGCCAGGGCTGCATACAATTCTAAAAACAGTGACCTGTTGTCATCCAAGGCTATAGAACCCAGTTTTCCTGCTATTTGTTGTGGGGGGTGTAGAAGAAGAGGATTTATATATTTCCCAAGGTTATTAGCACATAAGTGAATGTAATTGATCCGACTGGAATTCTCAAAGGGATTTTATATATAATTTTAAATATTAAATGTAAAAACTGACTCACGAAGAGAGGTGCTTAGTGTTTATTTTCATTAAACGGAGCAAAATATTTCCTACAATTGTAATTAAGATACCATTATTGAATGATCATTTTCACACGCGAATTATAAATTTTAAAATTCACAGAAATTTTCAAACTGTTTATGGTATCAGTCTGTTGAAGAGGACTCGCTGGCACGGTAACGAAAAAATAAAGCTTTTTTTTTAATCTTCCGCTTGCCACCCCCCCCAAAAAAAAAAAAAAAAAAATCTTTATTTTTCTTTACCCAGCTAGCCAATTGTAGGATATATATATATATATATATATATATATATATATATATATATATATATATATATATAATTTTAACTGATTTGTATGACTAAAATTTTCTATTATTGATCCATTGCTTACTTATAAGCTAATGAACAAACGGGAAATATTTAGCATTCTAACATTAATCATTCCAAGCCCAACATAAAATCTGTAAATATTGCTTTATGTATGCAAGTGTATAATAATTCTATTTTGACTATGTATATATGTATATATATATATTTTTTTTTTAAGCATTACGCCCCAAGCAAGGCGTGAAGCCACTAGGATGCAGGGGGTTGCGGAAGATTTGGAGCGAGAGCAGATAGGAGTGATAGAAGAAAGGATGAGGAGAAGGATAGAGGGTAGATCAAGGTAACTGGAAGTGTCGATTGACATTACATTTGAATAGTTGGAGATTATAGCTCTCAGGGAAACAGTAATTGGGAAGGGTATTCCACAGGCGAGAGGTGCGAGGTATGAAGCTATTGGAGTAGAAAAGACGGCTACATTTAAAAGTTTCTACAGTGTAAGGGTGGAGCGGGATGCCAGCCTCGTAGGGCGCTTGAATTCATGGAGTCTGGGAACATTGGAGCAATTACCATGAAAGTATTTGACAGGGAGAGGCGACGGCGCGTCTGTGAGAGAGTGACTGCAGACGAGACGCCAGATCAGGGCCAATTACATTACATATCCGTCTCTGGATCTTGTCAAGAACTCCGAGGTAAGCAGAAGGTGCTCCAGCCCATATATGGCAACAATACTCCATGCAAGGGCGAATGGTTGTTTTGCATATTTGAAGTATCGATTCAGGGGAGAAAAAATTTCTTGGCGCGGCACAGAGAGCCAACTTTCCTCGCGGTGGAAGAAGCAATTGACTCAATGTATTTGTTCCATCTCAGGTCAGCAGTCAGCATATATATATATATATATATATATATATATATATATATAAAGGCACGGATAGCTGTCCGGATTGAGGAATCGGAGGGCCGAGTTCGAATTCCAGTCGAATCCATTGCAGACACTTACGTGCTCATACCTTGGGAAAGGTATTAATCTTCTTCTTCTCCCCACCCCCAGGTATGGGTAAATAGCAAGACAGACTAGGGTCTAGGAGAAAGATAACTTTGATTTCAAAACCTGCGGAGGTGTCGTTTGATGACCTTGTAGCGCACGGTGCATCAGGTCTCCGTATTCAGCTCTTCAAAATGTGTGGTTAGTTCCGCAGAAAACCCTCACCACTATAATCAAATCATATGTGCAGGTTGTCTGGATGTCGGTTCCTAGGAATTGAGGTGCCTGACCCTCATACGTCGTAAAAGTATCATGGTAGGTGCAGGTCAATAGCCCGCGTCTAAACGACGGGAGAGTCCACGATATATATATATATATATATATATATATATATATATATATATATATATGGCATCAAATGACAATTGGAAAAAAAAACTTACATTTTGCCGACGCGTTTCGTCTTCCGATTTTTCAAGGCAAAAATGAAATCGAAATGTTTTTTGTTGTTATAGTTACATTAAAAATCCAAATTTAAAAATATAGACGCTTCTGTGTAAGCCTGTGTAATTCTTATCCACAGAATTCATCTGGGAATTTAACGATATATACATACATACATATATATATATATATATATATATATATATATATATATATATATCGGTTTCTATCAGTTTAATGTCTGTCTGTCTCTCTCTATCTCTCTCTCACTCACTTTAGAGATTCCGATTGATGTCAAATTGCTCGGGTTTTTGATCCCGGCTTGAAACAATCGTATGTCTATCCACGCTGATGAGCTGTGATACAGCGAAAACAGTCTGTCTACGGATGAGTATATATATATATATATATATATATATATATATATAAGTTCGTAGGTATGCAGAAAATAGAAAAGAACAGGTTGGGTGCATAATCCGGGGTTCCTAAAATTTCGCTTGAAGATGAAACGGGACTAAACACCACAATTCAACTTAATTTTAATAATTATTTCGATGATTTCGGCTCTCGTTTTTGAAACATGAGAACGCTTATGTAGCGAAGGAATCATATTTTAAACAAAAATATATATATATATATATATATATATATATATATATATATATATATATATATATATATATATATATATATATATATATATATATATATATATATTCAGTAAACAGTATTAATTACATTTACCGGCATGAACGTTCGAGAAATTTCGTAGAAAATATGCGTTCTCCGGCAAGAATCGAACCTGCATCTCATACGGAAACCGTCATACGTCCTGACATGATGTTAAACAGTGAGTCATAGAAAAGCAAAGTTCAAATTACTGCTTATAAACACACATCTTTCTCGATATATCATTTCTGCTTCGAAATATGACCTAACGTAAATAATGACAACATATTCGATGAAATGGATTAAATCTGACAAATATTTTAATATATGTTCTGTTTATAGGTTATTTTTTATGGATACAACTTATTTTGAGTAAATGCTCTGCTTTAATTGAACTGTATTAGTTAGATTTACCAGCCTGAATGTAATCTAGACTTTGCTAACTGAAAAGTTCTCTGTGACTGTCTGGTTAATAGCACGACAGGCCAAATGACGGTTTTCTTACAGAATACAGGTTCGATTCTTATCGGGGAACGCATATTTTCTACGAAATTTCTCGAACATTCAGGCTAGTAAATTTAATTATTATTGTTTATTTATTGGATTTAATTTATTTTATATATCTATATCTCTCTTTCTCTCTCTCTCTCTCTCTCTCTCTCTATATATATATATATATATATATATATATATATATATATATATATATTTATATTTATATGTAAGCAAATATATGGATATAGATCCGACAGTATGAAGAAATATTTTCTTTCACACATATATATATATATATATATATATATATATATATATATATTTTGTATGTATATATAGGGAGAGAGAGGGGGGACTAGGGTTGCTGGTACCCCAGATAAGCTAAATTTCGATGCACTTATAAGTATAATTTTTTTAAATTTTCACCAGGAGAAAAACTAAAAATGTAGAATAACGAATTTATTACACTTTACAATTTAATAGAAGCTAAAGAAAACGTTCATTATCCTACCAAAAAATATATTTTCAAGCCTTTAGATCTGCAAATATTTTCATTGCACTTTCGCCACTTATCTTCTTTGCAGGATAATTTTCTAGAGACACAATAGCCAAATAATTTAATTTGTCTTTAGTCATGGACAACCCCCAATTTTTTTTTTATAAGCATTAGTATTGAAAGATCCCAAACACACAAAATGGCAGCGTGATGGAACCTCGGGCTTGATGGCACCCCG